CAATGCTATCAGCACGCAATGAGAGTCAGGGCACTTGCGTCAGAGTCTGTCAGGCAGCTGTCACCATGGTAACTTTTCATCGAGGAAACATTACCGAACAGAATTTAGCGCAGGGACATTATAGCCGGACGTGATCCATTGTGAAGGCACTCTTTTGTGAATATGGCAATGAAAGACGTAATAGAAAAAAAACGAAATCTACACGAGAAAGGTAAACAAGAGTGCATTAAATGTTAAATCTACAATTGAGCCATTGAGTTTCCCTATAGCTCATTCCTCCAAAAAGCCAGTGTGTTAAAGTCTCCCTGAGCTGGCCTTTTAGTGCACCATTTTCAAGTAGTCACCAAAAATCAGCAGAGCGCTAAGGGGAAAAGAGAGAGGTAGCTGCTGTGGTCCAGTGATGAAGAAAATGAATAAAAAGTTAGTGTGAAAATAGAAAACATTTTTGCCTGGTTTTATATATTTGGATTAGTCAGCTAAACATACATCAATCAGGCCTGGAAACATTTTTTATTTTCTTTGCAGAGAAATAGCCAATTCTATGTTTCATTCACACAGTCTACTAGAGGATTTAATAAAATTTAATAAAAACTCTCAGTTGGATTTCACGGTTTCCGAGTTTTTTCCCAAATGTCCCTCACCATAACAGCGAATCAGAGGATTATTAAGCTGGTGGGTTGCCATATTGCAATACCTGTAAAATCATGCTGTTTCTCCCGGGCACATCAACTGTTTGGATGTCATTAGAATTAAAATCTCACACTTTTTATTGATGAATCAAAACTACAATATGATTCCCTCCCACATTGTTGATTCAAATCAAAGCAAATGAGGACGCAGTGTGATAGCTTAGAAGATTAGAATTAGAATGGGCAGAACCATGACCTTCAGTTTTTTGTAAACTGTAGATAGTGGGTCTTGTATGTGTCACTCATTAGTTAGTAAATTAGTTCACATGTGACATGTCATTTTAGAAAATCTAGTGTTGGAAAATTACATTAGGTTAGGTTAATCCGTTATTTTGTATGACTGCAAAGGTATGTTAATATATTACAACTGAGCTATGATGCCCAGTACTTTTTCATGCCTTTAAAGGGGCTCAAAATTACGTTAAGAGCACATGTATCCTTCGTGATGTTATAAAAATGGCGACTGTGTGAGCAAAGAGTCAGAACACGTTGCTTTAGAAGAACCCTCGCCATTGACAGCAGCATTGACTTTTACCGAGGACTTAACTAAAAGTCCAGTTTACATGGACAATATTCTACTTTAAAAAAAATGAAAATGAGCATTGTGAATTACACCTTATTCTGAATGTTGCGGTCTTCGATTGAGACATGTTTTGGAGATTATTATTCGGGTCTCACTTCAGGTTTTTACCTCAGTCTGAAACACATAAAGCCTGTTTACATCGCGCACATCTGCATCCATTTTCTCTGCCCCTGTGAATTATGGTGTCAGTCAACACATTGTATACCAAGAACAGTAACACATAGGGGCAACTGTGGCACATGGAGTAGAGTGGGTGCGCCAGGAACCGCAGGGTTGGCTGTTTCAACCCCTATATCAAAGTGTGAGCAACACACTTAACTCCTCCCTGGGCTTTTTTGGCAGCAACTGCTCCCAATTTCCGTTATGTGTAAAATAATACTATATGTAAAATAAGAAATGGCTTCCTCTTCTTCTGTGACTTGGTGCTATTCTGTCTGGACACACACCACACTCTAATCAAGGGCAAACCATGATTAGCTCAGTTCAAAGTTATGAACTGGAATATAACAACATGAAATAGTTGACTGAGAGTTTTTAGGGACAAATGATACAAACTAAGAAATAATATCCTGCTTTGACCATCTGGAATGAGTTATGATCAATTTTTGTTTTGGTTATTTATATAACATTCATTTGCAAAAGGGTCAAAATGTTATCTGTTTAGTGTCAGTTTGCTTTTCCCCTCAATGATAGATACATAGATATTGAACCAAATTCTTAAGTGGGCAAGTAAAATAATACAACAGACACGTGAGCTAACCTGTTTTTGGCCTCTGCGCCGAGAAAGAAGAAGAGTCATTTTCTCATAGGACTTCCATACAATCAGACTCATTCTTTATATAAGAAGTAAGAAGAAATTATTTTTGGTGTCCAGTAGAATGCAAGTCTACGGTACGTTTTGCATAGGCTTTTCTTTTGAAACAAAGCCGTTGCCTCCTGTTTGTTAGTGGTCAACGTGTGCCTCTGATGTCTCCGTTACCCTAAATCAACTTAACCCTAACCCTAACCAAAATAGAAAAATGTTTGTGTAAATGTCCCTGAAGAGGAAAATTATATAATTGGGAATTTTCTCATTGATTTTCTTTTTTTGGTTTAAACCATCATTGTTCTTTGACGATCGTCAAAAATACCTATATTGATAAATGTTATGAAAATATAATTCTAGACTTAAAAAGTGTTTCAATATTTACTTTGTCTCTGAAGTAGCTATATATATACACACAGTATATTACTAATATTATTTAAGCAAAGGTATACCGGAAAATCCGACACAGTACTGCATACATATCTTATAGATTTCTAAGCTTGCATTGACTTTTGATTCACAGGTAGAATACAGGCCTCTTCACAACTGTGATTCCCAGAGCTTCTATCTTGACAAACCTATACTGCTGTGATTAACTGGTATTTTCCAAAAACACCATGTGCCAGCATTCACTCACTTGACGAGTACAGAGACACCCCCTAGCTTTCTCTATAATATTGACATAGGGCGATTAACAAAATTTAAATTAATGGCAAGAAAAGATTTTCATTTAGTCAGTCTTTCAAGAAAGAAAAAAATACATTTTCATATGGATTATATTTTGCTGTTCACAAATCAATTTTTTTGCTTTTTCTGCATGCAAGTTACATTACATTTGCAAGTCAAGATCCCATTTTTGGAGATTTATGTCTCCCTATTAGTCCTAATTAACTACAGCTGAGTGTGTGTCAAAATGGCATTTTGACCATTTTTCAGCCCTATCGCCCACTTACTATATAATTCAGACTAAGAGTAAGTGGACATTTTAACTGTGTAATGAACGGTCCAATCACATTCGTATTGTTGGGTGGCAACATACTGCCAAAATGAAATCATGACTAATCAAGATAGAAGATCTGTTGATATTTTAAGTCAAATGAAATCAAATGCTTTTCTTCAGTTGGAGGAATAGTTTTGCCTTGTTCACATTGGTGGAAAATGTTGATTATCCATACAAGTTTGATTAAATCAGGCTTCCTGCCCCTCCAGGCAGAGACAATTCTCAGAAAACCATCGGCAAAAAATGTTCATTAATCCCTTTTCTATTTATTGTTGCTGTACACGTTTTGCCAGCTCACTCATTTCCATACATAAACAGCAAGAGAACCTGCTTGTCAAATAAGCACATGTTCACACTGCAAACCAGGAAGTGAAAACCCTCCACAGACAAGTTTAGAGGTTGCCATAATTCAATGCCATCTGTAATTATATAACCCATCAGAAGTCTTTCATCTAAGGAAAAACTCCAATAAAGCCGCCAAGTCTCAAGCATCCACTGGCTCTTGTGGTGTATATGCATAATTATTAGTAGAGATGTGAAATAACTGCTACTCATCTGTGTTTCGGGAACGATTGCATTACTTTTCATTTCGTTGTCTTTGTCAGAAAAATATGCTCCTACCTTACAAACTGCTGTTATGTGCTCGCAGAGAGGCTGTGTGCGTGAGCATAAAGCTCTCAGTACACTGCTGACTGCTGGAAGATGGCGACCTGCGGGGTGAACGATGAAAGCGACTCCTTCGGTTGAAGTAGCTGCCAGCTGACCAGGACCGCTTGTTCTTCCTCAGGTACTCCTTGTAGTTCTTGGTTAGCAGCGTGTACAGAAAGGGGTTGATGCAGCTGTTAGAATACGTCAGACACGTGGTCAGGTAGTTGATGTTGCGTTTGGCTTTAGTTGAGAGGGGCAGTGACGGGTGGAACTGACCCAGCAGCTGCCAGATCCAGAAGGGCAGGAAGCATGCCCAGAAGAGGAGTACAATGGTGAAGATGAGGTACAGCACCTTTAGCAACATAAGAGTTGAAACAATAATAACAATCAGTAGTGTACCAGATCATGCATTGATTACCTGTACATAATCAACTAGAACTACATTTAATGAAAAAACACATGATTAGACACATGACACACACACATGACAAGATTATACAGGTACTGTACATAAAGTAGATTGAACCATAGACATCAAGAATGGGATATCAAACACGTTTTTCCCCTCAAAACAAGGAATACTAGTAGCAGCACATTCGGAAGTTAGGCAGTCTGCATTCTACATTGCCCCAAGGTCAAGGTCAAGTTAATCTTTTAAAAGGCTTGTAAAGGAAATGGCAGTATTAACCATTCAATAAATGAACTGATAAGACAAAATGAATGAATCTTAAGCCTTGCTATCAAGCAAATTGGAAAATGTTTTGTCTTATCATGAACTACGAGCAAATGTGAAATGGCCAATGAAATACCTGCTGCAGGAGGGAGGGGATTGATAATAGAATGCTCTAATTAGTTAGCCTACAGATACGTACTCTAAAAGAACATCCCTCCTTTATAACTACAATGGTTATGGTAAGCCCTTGCCCAGTAGCGGCTGGTCCATAGAGGGCAACGGGGCGTGGCCCCACCACGAGCAACAAAAAAACAAAAGAAATCTTTTGTTATTTATTATATTAAAAATACATTTTACTTACAGTCAATATTTGTGTTTTTGTGCTTTTGAAACATGGATTATATACCCAATAATATTTGTAAAATATATGTGCAAAATGTATGCTTTTCCTGCACGTCCCCCCTGCATGTCTCAGCTGGGCTCGGGGCAGGTCTAAAAATGAGTTAGCCAATCACTGATAAAGCTGACTGACATTATAATTTCAGCGTCTTAAAATACATTGAAATTTGGGCTCGCCCTTCGCTGCCCTACACTGCGCTCTCGTTGGGGCGAGTCTCTGACGCGCCGTTTAACATAACAAGAGCGACCACCGGCAGTGTCCTTCCAAGAAGACCCGACCCCAACTCGGTACGAGAGAAGAACTTTCCTGGAGAAAGCAGAGGTAAAACAGGTCGTCCCAGATCAGCCTGACCTCACATCCAGAAAACAGGCCGGCGTGAAAGGGAAGCCGCAGATATATAACGCTTCTGTAGTGTCTTCTATACCGGGATGATTAGCTAGCTATTTAGCTACATGCGTGCATGACATCACCGTGTTAAAGTTAACATCGCTACCCAGCTGCGACGCACACAAGACTGCGGTAAGGACACACAACCAGGACGTGGAAGTGTGAGGTTTTGTGGGGGTTTTGAGTTGGTCTTTCCTCAACACACTGATCGGGTGTTTCCCAAACAAACTAGGTGCATCTCAATATATACATGGACATACATGTAATCTAATAGAGTTTATATAATATAATATAATATAATATATGTATTTATATTATTATAATATTTATGATATTTCTAATAGTTACGATATGGCAGTTATATCATATTCTGAATTGTTTTTTATATATAAATATATATATATATATATAGATACATATACATATATATGTATATATATATATGTACACATATATATATGTATATATATGTATATGTTTAAGTATCTTTGTTTGCCAATTGTGCTGGGGTTTGTTTGTGTTTGTTTGAACCTGCTATGGATGCTTTTTGGATTTATTATGAAATAAATCCCTCTTTTGGTTAAAAATTCCTTCTTTTACAGTTTATTTTCATTTGTTACTTCCCGACTCCCCTAGACATCAGTCGAGGGACGTAACATAAATATATACATGTAATATATATGTGTAAAACGCAAACCTTTGAAGATGAGTAGTAAAGCCCAAAAAGTACTATTAGAAAGAAAGCTGAAGTAGAAACACTCGTAACACTTACTTTTTGATTGGGGAGTTTCTTCGTCTGTTTGAACGTCTCAGTCTGTGAAATCCAATAAGTGCGTGCAAGCTGGATGTAGAGATAGCCGATGATCAGTCCAGGAGCGACAATGCTAGTGCAAAACAAGAAGGAGATATAAACCTTGTAGGAGAGTGCCGACAACGTGGGCTGACACATAGCCTTATTGCCCACTGTCATTAGCTGAATGCTCAGAATCATTGGCAGGGTAAGGATTAGAGATGCAACCCAGACCAGCAGAGCAATGGCCTTCCGGTAACTTTTGGACCGCTTGACTGTGTCGAGGGGCTTGAGGACTGCAAAGTAACGCTCTGTGCTCATGATTGTCAGCGTGAAGATACTGGCGTGCATGGTCAGGAAGTCCATGCTGATCAAAATCCGACACCCTGCATCTCCAAAGTACCAGCCTTTCAGGAAGTGTGTGCATACTACAAAGGGTATGGTGAGAAGATACAGCAGATCTGCCAAAGCTAGGTTTATGATGTAGATGTACATGGAGGCTGCAGTCCTCATGGAGTGGCACATGACCACCAGGGTGTAGATGTTCCCCGAAACTCCAACGAAGCACATGAGGGAGAGGATGGTGCCGATGGAAAAGGTTGCCGCTGTGTACTCATGCGTGCTCAGTGGTGTTTCGGTAGCGTTGGCATCTCTTTCCACAAAGACTCCCACTGGCTCCATGGACACTGTGGTCTTATCTGGATGCATAGGGACAAAAAATGTGAAGGGTGAGGGTTGTAACTGTACAGAAACTCTGCATTTGTAAATCAACCCGTGTTGTCTTTTTGTCATTAGATTAGATTGGAATTTACATAAATATGGAATAATATATTCTGAGAGTGTAATGGCGGCATAATTTCATTCTTAATCTCCTTTAATATTAGAATAAGTAATTAGGCAAGGCTTTTTTGAGCTCGATGACTCATCCTTGCTTGATTTGGAAAATCCTACTGCTTGCATTTTGTAGAGGTGAAAGTCTACCATGACTAACTTACTCACACTGGGAAAAATTAAATCCCTCACTTTACTTTTGGGATAGAAAGAGCAGCTCTGAAAATAGCTTTGAGCTTATTACATTCCATTTTATTCAGCAATATAAAACATACCAGAAGACTGATGACAAAATGCATCCTCACTCTCTAGTGGCAAAATGATGCATCTTTCGTAATACACTCACTCAGCAGTATGTTTATTAAAAAAAGAAAAGACACTAAATGTATTCAAGTTGATGCAACTGTTAAACATATATACATAGCTATATTTTTACTCAGTCACAGAGATCTATTTGCCTTTATTTGATTCCAAAATGTCAGAATTCAGACGGAGATAATTGAAAAGGTGTCCTTCCTATGTGACTACAACTCTCCCAAAAGCGCCAGGGACAGAGATGACACGGTTGGTATTGCATTTAAGTCCTAACAGCCTGCTGCGCTTAGCTCCAGAGCCCTGGGGCATGCATCTAAATCAAATCCGGCCATGTACGTGAATTTTAATCTGGAATCTTAGAATCTGGTGTCTTACCTGGAGTGCCTCCCAGGACGGAAAAGTTCAACAATCAGCTGTGTGTCCATCAGCCATGCTGTGTCTCACTTGGCTCCTCGAAAGTTCGCACTTGCTGCAAAAAATGGCACTCTAAAGTAGTCCCAACTGATTCTTCAGAGTCGTTGAGGGGTGAAACAAGCAGGTGGAACAAAAGGAAAATCTATATCCAGCAGTCTGGAGGGGGTAGAATAATTTCAATGAGTCATCCACTACAATAACAAAAATCCCTCCATTGTTGACTAGTCTCTGAGCCACTAAAAGTGTCTGGATTCAAAAGAAAGCTTTACTGATAGCGCAAAAGTTATTTTACTTCTACACTTTGTGCACCTTGCAAGCACCCAAACACTGGAAGCTGTTACTATCGGCAGCGGATACATTTAATACATAAGAAAAAAATGTGACCCCCCGCTCCAAAAAAAACCAAGAGAACATCAATGAAATGATGAATAATGAGAAGTGAGGATCACATTAAGCTACAGCTGGTTATGGAGAATCCGCCCCTTGTGCTGAACGAGTGAGCGAGATAGTGCGGAGTGCCAGAGGTATAGAGTGTGCAAGAGAGGGGAGAGAGGGGAGAGAGAGAGTGAGAGAGAGCGAGGCAGGAGCGCTTTGCTAGCGAGGCGCTCTCGCTCAGAAGCCCAAAGTGGGAGGGAGAAGACGGAGAGAACGGGCAAGAGAGGTATGCTGGAAATGCATTTTGCTCTCTCTCTAACCTCTGTGCCTTCTATTTCCATGCTACGAGTGCGTGTGCTACAAAGTGATATGCAACACTCCGACCCCTTACGCAGAAAGACGTAGACAGAAAGAAAAATGTTTCTATATTGTCCAACATATAGGCTACTCACGTTATAATCATTTCTAGGGTGTTATGCAAGTAGGCATATGCCTGTAGATAATGTTTTCCAGTTCGACAGAGGGAGAGAGGCTAGAACAAGGCCCATAGACAATCTGTGCCAGACATGCAAGGTTGTTCAGATATGTAGACATAAGAGTCTTTGCCACACTAAGGATTGCAAAACATCAGAAAGAGTATAGGGACACTGGCAGTGGAGCAAAGGTCTCATGAGTGGGTGTGTGTAGGGACTAGGAGACAGAAGTGTGGGAGTGTGTGGAAGGGGGGGGGGGGGGCAGCGAGATACGGTCAACTGACCAGAATGAGCCAGCCAGGCTTGCATCAACCTACCAGACAGGCTAGTGGCTAGTGAAGGACGAAGGGGAGACTAGTAGGAAAACATCAGGAAGATAGTTACGCAGTTAGTACAGAGGTGGAAGGTTTAACTCACTAACCAAGAAATGTATAAACTAATATGCTGCATCATCACCTCGTTAGTGTCTTTCCGGAAAGAGCTTGGTTTATGGGTGTTGTTGCTCCAATAAATCTCTGTGAAATTGAAGAATCTGAATCTCCAGTGTGTTATGTGGGTGTGTGTCCTCATCAAGAGTCAGATAGATGAAGTCAACGAGTTAGAGAAAATTTGCGAGGGACCGTGGCGGCCCGGACCGACACGGAACCTGCTGCTTATAATATAAGCCTCCCCCCACGGGTGAGGGACACTACATGCCGGGTGAATCCTTGTGAGGCCTGAAAAAACCAGAAACTAAAAAGAGCCCTGCTACACCCAGCAAATAATTTCAACAACCCTAAAGAACACACACCCTGTGAGTTATGGCACACTGCCGTCTGTATTTTATATTTGGCTGGACTCTTTAGCGTCCTATTGTAAAAACAATGCTTTTTAAAAAAGAATTTAGCACCTAAACCAGGTTAAAAGGCAAGCAACCTAATAAAGTTTCTTATTGACTATTAGAAAAATTCTTACTCGAAAAAGGTGTAAAATCTTTAATGTTTGCAAACTGGAGACTGAGTTGGTCATGCGCCAAGCCTACTGAAAGGTTTTCATCTTCGGATGTAAATCATCTTTGAAACATCAACGCACAAACAGCTTGATTATGACCTAGAACACGATGTGCCTCTATGTGAAAGAGCACAGACTCTGTTGTTCTAAGCAAGAACAGTTTTTACAACATTAGGAAAAAAAAAAACTACTCCATATCCATAACTTTAAATGGATAGTTCCAGGGTCAATGTCATCTAGCACTGGAACAATTCACCCAAGCGCATTTACGGGCTGCAGGAATGAGTCATTTATCCAGGAACTGTTTTCACTTCCTACTTAGTCGTCTTAAAAGTAAATGGGTGTTTTGAAAAGAAGAACATCATTATATCAACATTTGCCTCCTTGTGCACGCTCAAGCGATTTTGGTGATGATTTGTTCAATTAATGTTGGCTTTTTTTCTCCTGGTGATTGTGTTTACTCTTCAAATATCATAAAAGTATAGATTTACATGTATACATTTATGAAGATAACATTTACATTTATGAAGATTGCTGGACAAGTTATTCATATTCTTTTAGATTCCATGCTGTTGAGTTTATGGGTTTAGATTTGTTAGCGTGTGAGGAACTGAGTGAGTGACTGTGCACCTCCGTGTCGGTCCAGTCATTCTGCATCATTTGTGAAATGTAGACCGATGTCTGCCTTCCCCCGGACCTCTGGTAGTTATGGTGACTCAGAACACCTTATGTCATCTGTCATCTCCACTAACTTTCGCACGCACTATATTATATTATTTTTTAGAAAAGGGAGCACAAAAAACGTGCAGAGAAGCAGCCTCCATGCACACATATACAAGCTAAGACATTAGACAAAGTAAGACAGGGATAAGAACAAAGAGGACTGACTGATGAAAATAGGTTTTCAGAAGGTTAGGTGGTGATATGGGATTAAAATCCAAACATAAATACACAAAGCATGTAATATACACAATATCGCACATTGTATTGAAATACATTTAAATAATTTTAGTATTTTTCAAGTGAAAACACAAAAGATTACAACCTATAGAACATAATAATAGTAAGTAGATGTAACTATTGATAAAATAAATAACTTATTTCCAAATAAACTCTGGAACTTGTCAATTTATAGCAAACCAACAACTGAAAAATAATATCACCATAACATTAAAATGTGTGACAAGGCTGTTACTTAACTTGACAAGGGCAGTCTGAAGGCAAATAACATGTCCTACTAACTTTTGGATCAAAGGAAAAGATGTAATCAAGCTTCAAATCATACCCGAAAATGCAAATTGCGATACTTCAATGATAGCCTTTCATTGATATTGTTCTTAACTGTGTGTAATGAATCGTCAAACACATTAAGTACTTTTGTTATACACTCGTTTTTACTATGCTGCTATTTACCAGCTTTTCATTAAGCTCTCCATATCTCCCTCTTGTGTCTTGCGTATCCTGCAGTCTTGTCTTCTCATGTAACTGATTGAAGCGCCTTGATTGTGTCTCGGTAACTCACCCTTCCCCTCATGTATTTAAGTGACGAGCTGTGTGGTTTGACGCCAATTTGTCTTGTGCTGTGTGTGCCAGCAGCGGTTTTTCCTAGTCTAATACGTTTTTGAAGAACTGTATGACCTTGATTATGGTTTTAGACTTTGTCTCTGCCTGACCTCTTGTACTTCAGCTTCTACTATATTCTGAGTACTGAACCTTGCCTGTCCCTTAACTATGTCTTTAAATAAAACCACCTGTGACTTTGACAGCTGTCCCCCCGAGGGGTCAATCTGAGTCCACCCATTGCTATACCTATTACTTTGGTTGTAGTTCCTCTTGACAGTCAATGTTATGGACCAAATTGTTGTAAAAGATGCTCCAGCAGATATATGACGTTATTCAAAACATTACTGATTTGCAGTGAAAATAACAGATTTGTCCATGTTTTGCTTTTCATAAACACAGGAAGTATTCCAGATTTAACCATAGAGCCTGTGTTGAAAATCAATACGCTTAGCCACTCAACCCCCATGTTGTAATGAACATGAGAACATGAGAATGTGAGACTTTTAATGAGAGACTTGTAATGAACATGAGAGAAACAAGTATTTGTTTTACGAAAATATTAAAAGAGCTACCATCAGAGTGAAGAAGGCGTAACAATGTGTGACCGGGGCAACTGATGTGCCTGGCCGCAATGAAACAACGCCACTCTGGGACTTTCACCCAGAGAGTACCACAAATTAATAAAAGGTTCTTATTTGTTCAAGAAAGGGGAAGAGAGAGGTGAATTTCTAGTTTTGAATAGTGTCCAGTTTTATTTATAAGTAAGCTTCAGATTAGTTAGATAACTGTCTCAGTTTAAAAATACGTTTTTTATTACAAAAATATCTTCTTTATGCTAAAAAATGATGAAAAGGGAGAAGGGGCCACCACCAGGTACCAGAAAGGAAAAGTCACACACACACTGCAAAGCAAAAAAGACAAATTAGAACAAATAAAAAACATGCAAAATAAACTAAAAAAATTAGGAAGCCCTCCACCTAGTAGACTTATGACCAGCCCAGCTGTACTGATATTGAGAGGACCTCAGTATAGGACCTACTCCAGTTGGTTTACAAAAGGAAAAAAAACAAACAAACAATTACCACCAACTTGTCTAGGAAGAAAACAAATTTACTGACAATTCAAAATCAAAATACTTGCATAAACAAGGTAACGATAATTACAAAACATATTTTCAAAAGGGGGGGGGGGGGGGGTGTAAACAGCAGTGGCTAGAGCTCAGCTACCACCAAAAGCAGACATCACTTCCCCGTTCCTATTACAAAAAAAAAAGCACATGTCATACACAATGTAAAATTCCACTGAACATACCTGGAAATTGCACACTATACAGCCACACATGGCGAGTGCTGCGTAAATGGGGTGGGAGCTCTATGACTAGTCCCCTTTAGCGCTCAGTCCTGCATCTTAACTAGCTATAGTCATTCCTGAGACCAATGTGGAGCTGGGAAAAGCTATATTTAAAGGAAACCAGGAAGTAATCTGGCCTCACCTATTGCGAATTGCTAATTAGAGGGGTGTGGCCAAACAGGTAGAGGGAGGGGGAGCTCTACACATCACAAATGTAATCATGAATGAATATGTTCCACTAAGAATGTCTGAGGGTTACTGCGGTAGTCTTAATTTTGGGTTGTCTTATCAATTAGCCTGTTCCACTGTGTGACTGTTTTTTGGCCTATGCTTTGAAAATGGCAAACCATGATAAAAAGTGTAGTAAATCTTAGTACACTGTCTAGCAGATTTTTTCTGTGGAGGTTAACGGGAACCCCTGAGAGGGTTTTGATGTGTAAACATCAGTTTATATGGCCCAAAAAGAAATCAAAATAACAAAAAACTTAGCCTGAAATAAATCAAAAGCAGTGTTTATATGACATATGAGTCATATGAAAGAGAAATGCCGGCCTAAAACACATCAGGGTGATAGTGTGTGGACAGTAATCCTGGAAAGGTTTTCCGTTGACAGAGTAAATCAGACTTTGTGCAGGCCTCACGGCTGACCTACGATTGCAGCCAGAATCTGGATATTCTCCTAACGTCGCCTTAGGTAGACCGATCTGCCCATTTAAACCGCATTTTTGAATCGTCTGATTCCATTGGATATGACTAAACCCACATGGAAATAATCAACAGCTTCCTTAACCATTCAAAAGCCTGGATTAC